TTTTTTTTTTTTTTTTTTTTTTTTTTTTTTTTTTGCAGTAGTAGTAGTAGTAGTATGCTCGCATTCACGGCCAGTCTCATAGCTGGCAAGTGTGATTGAAAGATCCATTTTATACCTATTATTCATGTATAGGTCATCTATATAGTTGAGTGTAGTAGTCAATTGAACTGTTTTTGGTATTATGCTCTCTCTTCTCGTCTACTGGTACGAAATTACTACAAGTACATGACCATGACATGGTCCTTGCCCCTCCCCCGTGTTCCCGGCAGTGCAAACTTCGTATCGCATTCTGCTCATGCCAAGGGAGCGATTAAGTCAGAGGGAAACACCGTCATCGGGCTGTGCTGTTTATAATGGTGTTTAATGTTTTAGAGAGAGAGAGGGAGAGAGCCGTACTGCGTTGGATACAATCAGCATATTCTCCACACATCTTACATGTCACTGTCAAGATTGTCAAGATTGTCATTTGGTATTTAGAGCTTGATTCTTACATGTGTTGATACAATGGAAAACTCCTTCTTCTCTATGTACGGAGTATACGGAGTATTAGTACAGGTACTAGCACAGACTGTGCATATTCTATTGCAGTGGAGAGAAAGTCAGTGGATATATCCTCAGCTTCTGGCATACACCGCCTACTTGTATTATTACGTGACAGGATATGGGGCGTCCAACAACTAGCAATATTATTATTACCAAGTACTTGTACTAGGCGGAATTGAGAGTTTTTAGCGAGAGAGCGGGAGTTCCTTTGTGCCTTGCTACCGCGAGCTAGCACTACGTACGATAATACCATTTCTACCGACTGTTCGTTACGTATTACTTGTGCTAACTCCCATCTCTACCAATATTACTCATATTTGCTTCTACTATCCAAACCAAGGCCACGAGGCACAAGGCACAAGGCACAAGGCACAAGGCACAAGGCACAAGGCACAAGGCACAAGGCACAAAAGATTTGAAAAATAAATTATTAGATAAAAACGTCTGCTGATCTAATTTCGCTTCGCCCCAATAACCTTTAACCAACCACACACCAGAACGAACGCTCAGGTCCCTTCACGCCAAGGAAAAGCCTAAGCGGGTCCTGTATGGTTCAATTACCCCATTCGGACATGCCGATAGTCACGTATGACGCCAGACACTGATGGAAGATGCCGAAGCCAAGAGAAAACACCAAGATTCAAGATTCGCGATGGTTCTTCCCTCTCGTTTCGTACCTCGTATCAAACTTCCTGGTCCGCCCCCATCCCGCCATAACCCACCAATCCAACAGAAGACACACCATGAAACACAAAAAGAGAGTCAAAAGGAGTCAAGGAATAGTTTGTTGAGCTCAGTATCAGTCTGATTATTTTTCTAGAGCTATCTGATTCTCTAGAGCTACCAAAAAAAAAAAAGGAAAAAAAAAAAGGAAAGAGTCCGAGGAGTGTGCAAATATCTCCCTCTCTTCGCTAGTAATTACGATTGTATCCCGATATCCGTTGTAAAACAGTAGAAAAAAAAATGGCACCGATTGTGCGAGGTATCCTTTGTAATGCAAAATCCCGAATGTAATCCCTTGAACAGAAAGAGAAATGGCTAAGAACGATGGCTGAATAAAGAAAAAGAAAAAAACTCCCCCTTAGTAATCCCGATAGTGAGAAATAAAAAAGAGATAGTGTGGTAAGACAGGTCCCTACGGGACAAGAAGAAGAGGTTTTGACGTCAAGGAAAGGTTGTTTTATCGTAGTGAGTGTGTGTTGTATGTCGTAATAGATGTTTGATGACGATGGAGGAAATGTGTGTGTGTAGAGATAAAGAGAGAGAGAGAGTGTGTGTGTGTGTGTGTCTGTGTGTCTGTGTTGTTTAGAAGCTAGAAATACTAGCAGCAAACTCTTCGCGCTGGAAGACAATGCCCCTGCGTTTCCAACCTCCCCTCTTGACAAAGTTGTCGACAGAGTCCATGTGGTGCATGGGTGGGCGGCGAGCGGTAGGAGCAGAGTCGTCTTCCTGCTGCTGGGCGTCCTCGACGACGTCATCGTCATCGTGCTCCTCCTGCGAGGAGCCAACAGTGCTGATGGAGTCGATCGTCGAGGCCGACCAGCGCGAGCAAGGCACGGGAGGGCGGGCGCTGGCGACCGAGGCAGCCATGGCCATATGGCGGAAAGTAAAGTAGTCGTCGTCGGTGGGCTGAGCGGGTGCGGTAGCAGGCGGGGGCATGGCCATGACAAAGTCGCTGATGCTCATGCCGTCGTCGCCGTCGTCGCTCTCCTCCTCCTCGGAGTACGGCTCAGGCAGGACGACGACGTCGCTGCGGTCTTCGTGTCCATTCTCGAGGTGGTTGGGGTAGTAGAAGTCGTCGTAGTCGGCGTCGATGTCGTCGTCGTAGACGGCGGGGGCGAATGCAGCCCGTCGCGGGATGGAAGTCTTGAGAGGACGCTCGTGCAGGCGGGGAGGGGCGAGATGCCCTCCGTTGCTGCTGCCACTCGTGCTGCGGTGGTTCTGGCTGGGAGATGTAGGGGGGCTGCGGAGGGTGGTACAGGCTGAGGCTGTCGAGTCGGACGACGAGAGGGAGCAGCAGGATAGAGAGGAGCCAGAAAAGGAAACCTTGCGGATGTGAAGATCACGGGGGCGCTTAGCGTCCTTGCGCTTCTGGCTGAAACTGTTGCGTAGGAGAAGCATGTTGTGTTGTTGTTTCCGGTGCTGGCGTCGCAGTAGTAGTTGGTTTTCGAAGATGCGTTGAGGAAGAGTGGTGAGGAGGGCGGTGATGTAGTAGCAGTAATAGTAGTAGTGGTAGTAGTAGAGACTGGAAGGTGATGATGGTAGTGGTGGTGGTGGTGGTGGTGATGGTGATGTAAGGACTGTATTTATATGACTGAAGATATAAAAAGGTTTGAACCGGAGAGTCTAGACCTCATAGATGCAGTTGTCTGATGAAACCAAAAAGTCGAACGAGGCGGGAAGGCGTTGATTCTATATAACACGAGAGAGAGAAGAAAGTCGGGACCCCAAGGGAAGAAGAAAAAATGGGTGTGGAGGGAGTGTACGACATTGTGCACTCCCTCCGTCACCAGAAAAACCTGCTGAGTACACACCCACACACGCCCCCCCCCCTGCATCTCCACTCTTTTGTTTTAGCTGGTGGTGCCATGATACGGATCTCCCTCTCCACTCTCTCTCTCTCTCTCTCTCTCTCTCTCTCTCGCTTCTCGGTAATAAGCACGGATGGGTGCGGCGGTGGCCCTTCGGTATGAGGGCCGTCATGGATAACTCCGTGCAGCCTAGGATACAGCGTCGCATCCTGCTCGCGACTGCTGAACGGCCATGATGGGGCAGCTGGGCGCTAGACAAGGATTCGGGGCCCATCGCAACGCTTTTACGCCCCGGCCGTGCTGAGTTTATTTTTGAAGCAGTAAAGATACGTAGTGCACCGTACATGTGGTGATAGTAATACGACAATCTTACGGTACCAGTAGTATGAGTACGATATTACTGCTAGCATCGTACATATATACAATACATGGGTAGAAAGGATATGGACACACGTGAATGACTTGGTGGTTCTCGTGAACCTCTTCAATGTCTGAATGTCTGACCGCCTGACGCGTTAATTGAAGCGCGTTGGGCAGGTGCGCCGAGACAGTGGCTCTTTCGGCCTGTCCATAGCAGTACATATAGTTGCTAACTAGTACTCTGGAGTAATTAAAAGGTGAGACGGGAACAGAACAATCAAGAAAAAAAGAAGAAGAGAAGAGGGAGGGGCGAGAAAAGAAAGGAAAGAAACATTCTGTGACTCTTTCCGGGCGTGCCCTTTTCATTCCTTGTCTGTTCTGCCAAAATCTGCCTGTTCCTGAGTGTTCCTGAATCATGAATCATCCACTCACGCTTCTAGTTCACGGTGAGTGCATCGCATATGGCCGATGGTATCATAAGCTATCACTACCACTCGTAGTATTACTCAGTATCGATAGATGCATGTACGCAGTTACCCCAGTACGAAGCATGTTCACGTCCCACTAGATTTCGCAGTGACAGCCCAAATGCAGTAAAGCTGCAAAGCACCGACAGGCCTGCCAAAGAGTGCCGGCACCGCCAGTACATGTATGTAATGCTCACCCGTACAGGGCTAAACAGGGCACCGAGGGACTCTGAGCTGAGTCTCAGGGCCACTTGGGACCTGAACCACCCCCTGACCGAGCTAAGCCTGTTACGGTACGGGGCAGGGTACGACTATGATGCTCGTAATCTGTACCCAAACCACCGCCCGTAGAGATGCGGCGCACCCACAGGATAAATCACTACGCACAACCCACAGAAATATATAGTAATACTATACGCACACCCCATCTCATCGTCTTGTGAGACACATCCGCTTCTACCATTCAGTCCGAGAGATGGAAAGAAGAGAAGAGATAGAGAGAAGGAGAAGAAAAGAAGAGAGAATTGGCACAGTAGTATTATCACACCACTTTCCTCCCGACCATACGTACACGTAATGCCCTTCCTCGACCCGTACTCTCTGCAAGATGATGCACGATTGACCGGTTTGGAATGTGAAGTGGATCTACCCTTTTTTTTTTCCCCTCTCTTTCACGCCGAGTGCCAAGACAATCCAAACTGCACACCAAAGACTCTCTCAGTGCGGACGGCGCGACACCAGATGAATATAGTATGGGCCACGGCCGGCCCGAGGAGCTAAACCATGTCCGGCAATCATTGCGTATCCTGGAGGCGTGAGGGTACCCTGTATAGTATCATTCTTCTCTCCACGAGTACTACTGGTAATATAATACGTCGTGAAAGAGAAGGGGAGAAAATCTCCTATGACCGATACTATGATGATGATGCACAGCAGGGGTCCGTCGTACTCCCCCTCTCCCTTGCCAACGGCTGATAAAGGGAGAGTCAAAGCGGTCTGCAGGTACAATTGTCAATATGTCAAATCAGTACTAGCTGGCATTTTTAGAAGAAGACATAGATGTGGAAAAAAAAGAAAAGGAAATAAGAAGAAAAGATAACAGGGAGGGGGGGGGGATAATAGAAATGAAAGAAAAAGAAAAAAAAAAGAAAAAAAAAAAGGAAAAGCAAAAGAAGTTACTCCATAATGGTGATGTATGCACGGCATGGGGATTTGCAGAGCGCATCATGCCATCTCTGCGTCTGTTCCTGCATGCGGCTGTACGGAATCACTACTTGTACTAACCAGCAAGCCTCACAAGACGAAGCGGGCGGTCTAGATCTCTTCCTACTGCAACCTTTCTGGGTAATCATACCAGAGTATTACTCCGCACTTTTTGTGTGCGCGCGTGTGCGTGTACGTACGTGTGTGTGTGTGTGTGTGTGTGTGTGTGTGTGTGTGTGTGTGTGTGTGTATGTGCGTAAAGGGATACACCGCGCTCTCTCTCTCAACTCTGCTTCATCATTCCGCCTGTATCCCGAACCAACTTCTCCTCTCCCCTTCTCTTGAAGCTGATCTGACTATCGCCGTACGTCGATAAGCCTCGTCGGACCGGACTTTGGATGGGAAGAAATGTCCGTTCTTGACAGAGATAGAGAGGAAGAAAGTTATGGCAGTGACAAGTGGCAGCAAGCATTCATGACTCGGGCTTTGACGGTGCAACTCTGATTATGGCTAAACGGCGGGTTACGCTCACTTGTTGCATAGTTCACGTCCGTCTAGTTGGTCATTACCAATACATGCATTGGAGTTTTTCCCCCGTCTCCCGCTCAGGACGACGAGCAAGTCTAGTGCAACAGGCGCAAGGCAGGTAGTAGCAGTGATAGTCGACGGCAATACTACTCCGTACTATTGCCATGGTCTCTTTTCCGTGACTGGTTGCAACCCGCGAGCCTCATCAGCTGAGTGAGGGCGGTGTTAACCTGATGGGGGCCCTCGGGACATGGCAGTTGTCTGATTGGACGCGATACGGAGAGTATCCGTACACGTACGCGGGTGTTGGGACGGAGAGCAGCATTGGCTGTCAGCAAGCCGCTGCTATATATCGGATCCTCAAAGCTGTGGCTTGGTACGCTCGCAGAATAGGAAACCCCGGTTGATACAAGGGCATCGTACCGTTATACCCCGTCCAAGCGTTCGCTCCCTAGTCAGAGAGCCTAGTCCAAGCCGGCCAAGTTCAATTGACAATATTGTTGCTGCCAGTATCGATACTGCTCCCTAGAATAGAAAAGCCCAGGTAAATTAGAGACGGCAGATGGCAGCAGAGTAATATTAGTAACTACGTCAGCCAGCCTCCAGAGCTGGAAACCCCAACCCCAACCCCAGCCAACCCCCCCTGCCCATGATTTCCCTCTTGACAGGGGTGTTCCTTGAAATCCTTGGGTAAACCCCGACTAGATGGACAGATTCACAGCTCAGGTTCCGGAAGGAGATTGAACGCATACAAGAGAACAGACGACGGACAGGGATAAGAATAACCAGCTTGTTGGGTTTCCTGAAGGTTTTTTTTTTTTTTCTTCTTTATTTTTCTTCCTCTTCCTTTTCCTTATCCTTTCTTTTCTTTTGTTTCCCTACCCTGCCCTGCAAGATCGATGATGCATCCAGCTCTTACTCTCGAAATGAAGGCCAAATTTCCCTCCCTTTATGGACCCTTTAACTCTGTTCAATATTCATACCTGTACGGAGCAGTGCCCCCAAGATCCCGAACAGACAGCCTTGATCACCGGTAGTCTCGATCACATCAAGCCTTGGGTATTTTGGTGATCAACCCAATCCAATCCTTGCCCGTTCCACCCCAGAGCCCTGACAGCAAGAGTACTATATTATATAACACTGGTTTTGGTTTATTTATTTGTTTATTATCTATGTATTTTGTATTCTACGGCAATGTCAAGGCCGCAGTGCTGAGTCTGCACACAGACAACACACACCCCTTTCTTCAGCCGTATTCCTCATCTCGCAACCTATGACCTTTGATGGACGATATCACATCGTCGGTCTTGCCGTGTTTCCCACTCGTACGGAATATTTAGATTAACGAAGAAGAAGAATGAAGAGAAAAACTAGTCCAACCTAAGCTCGGCCGCAAATTTTGGCCGATGGGATTTTCCTCGCGCTACTTTGTAACTACGGCTTCGTTGCCAACTACGGAATATGGATCACCGCGTCGAGTTGCAGACTACCTTCTCGTGCGTACTCGTAGAGATGATGATAAGGAGGAGGGGGAAAATGAGAAGGAAGGCGAAGAGAATGATTACTAGTTCTCCGCTTTACTTACTTTAAAAAAAGGCTTCCCGAGAAGTCGAAGATCCGGTACGACGAGAGGTACATAATAATCGCAGACATATGAGACGTACAGAGAGCAGCTCACCGACACCGACATGCCCAGAAAATCGGATCTACTCTGATTCCGTGCCTTTATTGGTTGGTCCTCCTCTTCTCTCCGGACCTTCATCATGCATCATCCCCTTCCTTCTCTCTCTCTCCCCATCCTTCTTAGCTCGAAGCGAAACTTGCCTCCCTTGCTGCTGAAGGGTGGATTATCTTGCATGCGGTAGTACGACACTAGCGACCAACTGCATCAGTAGCTTGGAAAACCGACCTCATGACCTGACAGTCGTACGTACGAGTGTGTATCAAGTATTAACCGCATGGCCAGTAGGACTGGTTCTAGGCCCGTTCGTCAGAAGTATCATCATGTAATATTTTTTTTCCGGTTTCAGTCGTGACTGATCTGGTGTACCTGCATCCCTGTATCCTGATTCTTCCCGGTGGTAGAGTGAACGCACGTAGTAATCCTTCTCCATAGATCATCGTGCATCGTCGCATCACATCGCATCGCATCGCATCGCATCGCATCGCATCGCATCGCCCCGCATACATTTTCGTACAGCATACCCTACGTACACGACATGATGAATCCCATCACAGTCAATCACATATTCGGTGTGAATGTCTCACTTCCTTTTTCTCTTTTTTTTCCTTTTTTTCTCCTTGATAGCTTGCTCTTACTTTTCTTATCCAGAAGCCGTCGCATCACATAGAAGTGTCAAGCTGTAAAATCCCTCCTCCCGACACACCCACTAAAATTCCCCTCACCCACCATCACCACCATCACCACCACACCTTCAGCAATTCCAAAGGTCGAGAACGAATCACATATCAAAGAGGAAAAGCACACACACACCAGAGAAGAAAAGGAATAGAAAGGAAAGAAAAAAAAAAGAAAAAAAAAAAGAGAAAAAACCCACATCACTCGTAACAACAGTACTCACCGCCAAATTATCATCCTCTCCAACACATGACGTCTTCCATCCCCCTCCCCCTCCTCCTC